TTAGGTGTTTGATTAGTCAAAATTAAGACCAGGTTTAGCACTACATGCTAAGAGGACTGATCAGTTTTTGTGGTACAGTCCTGGGGCAGTGCTTTTTCCTCTGTTCCAATGGCGTGTAGAGAGAGCAGGGGTGTTAATGGCTCACTGTATTTTGGGCTCTTTTTGTTTTCTGCTTCACTTTGTCAATGCGCAACACTGACGAGGCTTAAAGCCCTGGATGAACTAGGTGGAAACTCAACGCTTAGTCAAAGTGGAGCTAAAGGTCATCAGCATCATGGAAAACTTTCAATTGGGCAAAAGCTGCTGCGAGGTCCTAAACCCAACAGAAACAAGACCACAAACAACACCAGGGATGTTGAAACAGATTACCAGGCAGACGTGGGTACGTAAAGTTAAAATTGAAAGTGAGCCATGGCTTTTAAAAGTAATAAATCCAACATTTGGTCTCTTATGCTTGTAAAGGATTTTGTGTTCATAGTGTTTTAGGGCCTCTCTAGTAAACAACTGCATACCTTCTAAAACTAATTTCAAACCCTACTTTTGAAAGCCTGGGAGGAAGCTAAACAACCTGGACAATATGGTGGTCTCGACCTGGAGGCAATGGAACGACTCCTTAAGTTGGAACCAAAGGTTGAATGTACGCTAGACTCCATGACGCTTCAGGTTCATGATGCTGCTTCTACCCCTGGATCTCTGCTTTTCGTGGACAGGGGTAAGTAGTTATGTTAAGGTCTGCGTAGTAGTTCCATGTAATGATTTTTACACCCTCCTCCTGCTGAACGTCTCCCCCAGGAAGCCATTTGTCTCCTTTGCCCCTGTCCAAGTTACCTTCGAGCTGCGGTTACACCATCAGCTCGACACGACGAGATCTGGTCCTAGTCGCACCCTATGATGGTTGCTTCGTCGCTCTCCAGGTGGGTCACTGTGATCCGAAGGCACTGCACATTTTAACCACGTGCTTATGTATAGTAGCTTCCTTGCTGCTTTCAGGAGGACACTTATGTTCTCCCACTGCTTTGGTGGGGCATACCAGTGAGGATGTCGTGCCCTTTCATGGGCTCGCTGTCACTGAATCCTCCGATGGTCACCTGCAATACTGCGGACATGCTCGTAAAAACAGAGTGGACCCTGCCCGTCTCCAATATTAAAGTTAAGTGTGAGTTTTTGGTCCTCATCATGTCTCTGTTTTTGTTTTTAAACCAGCACTAAAGACATGACATGTTGGCTAAACTGGCCTACAAATACTTTTTCCAAACCCTGTGTGACTATGACAACCACTTAATTTTCATGTATTTTAGATTCCCTTAAAGTTAACTGATGGTCCAAACTCCAGTGTGCGTGTTTTGTTTTTTGTCTAAACTTTTTAGCTTTCTATATGGCTTTTTATATTTTCTAAATGATAGCTTAGTTTGCCAAAAGATGACTTTAGGAGTAGGAAACCTAAGGTGAGTTCCTGCCTGCCGTTTATTTTGCAGTGAACGGTAAATGGGAGCCACTAACCGTGGCCTCAAACAGATGTGGCTTCAGCACAGTCGAACATCCTGAAGGTGTGGTCATCTCTGCTCATTATGCGCCCTGCCTAGAGAAAAAGGTGTGTTGTGCATGTTTTTGATTTTTCTCCCTTTCTTAGGAAGAAAGATAACTTGTATTTCTGTTCAGGATGGGTTGTATACTCTGGAAGTTGCTGGAGATGGAGAAGCAACAATTTCCTGTCCGTCACAATTACCAGCTCAGCCTGAATTCACAGAAAACCCAGCAAAGGATCCCGATTGGCAAAATGAAACACCGAGCAAAGGTGTGTATGCGTCGACTTTTCCTCATGATCCTCATCAAGCGGTTCTTCCTCAGAACTCAGATATGCTGAATCAGTGGCCAGAAGATACGGATCGTCCTTTCCACCCCACTTTCTTTTACTCTGCAAGTCTGGTCAATACACCTGCTGCGCCCGCAGTGAATCCTAGACCTGCTTCATCTCCAGTTGTCCAAACTGATGCAGGGAAAAGATGGCAACATTTTCCCCCTTTTTATTCTCAGCCACCTGCCCCTACACTGTCACTAATAACTAAACCACCAGCAGGTCAGTTTGAAGAACATTTGCTTCCCAGCCCAATTAACCCACAGCCTAGTCTCCTTCAGGAACCTCCTGCAAGCCAACCCGAGAGCCAAGACAAGAAACCCCCATATTCATTTTCTTTTTACTCACAGCCTTCAGCATCTGAAGATCATCCACCATATCACAAATTACCTGAAAAATCAGAGGAAGCAGAACCCAAAGCACAGAACCAACTTTCCCACCTCTATCACTTCTACTCCCAACCAAAGCCCGAAGTACAGCCTGCTACAAACCCCTCCACTGTTCCTCAGCCACCACAGCCTGAAGCCCCTCAGCGTCAGGTACACCAGCAAATGTACTTGTGCCCTGAAAATCAGCCTGCCAGAAATCCAAATGCTGCTTTGGCATCAGCAGCTGAAAGTCTTTTGGGACAAGTGTACAAACTTTGTCAAATATCTGAGACACCAGCTGGAACAAATGAGGAAAATCCAGTCCAAAGCACACCACCTCTTCTCAGATATCCACAGGGTCAGATGCATCACCTACTTAACCAGCTCTATTACCCACAGCAGCTCCAGCTGCTACAGCCTGTGACATTACCCTCTGCTACCTATTTGCAGCCACAGGGTGCTGCTAAACCCAGTGACCAAAAACATCCTGAATCTGCAATTCCACTAACTATCAATAGTTATACAACCCCGCAAGATCCTCAGCTCAGCTCTGCATATATGCAACCTGTGTGCTCCTTGTCTAACTGCTGTACACAAATGACTTTTTATCAGCTTCTCCATATTACTCCAGCTAGAGTTGGCAGTTGTGCAGGTGTGCCTCACTTGTTTCCAGATCTGTCATTTCCACCTACAGCTTCATATTTTGAGTTTGCCGTGGGTTCTGCAAGACTTCCTCAACAGCCGACTGAAGCAGCACAATCTGCCTCATCTTACACCTCTGTGCCCCTCTCACTGCACCCCTTTCCAGATCAAAATGTGGAGCAATTATATTTACAGCCACCAGATGGCAACCCTCCTACACCACGAGGAAATGATCCAAGTTGGACTGCAAATCATGAACGACTGAACCGCGTGAACCCCGCACCTAATTCACTGCATGCCCACTGGCCGTATCTACACAGCCAATCCTCAGAACCTCTGCCTTCAGGTTATGACCCAGCAGGGCGATATCAGCTGAATAACATTAAGTCCCCAGTGCAGGTAAACGGTCAACTATTGACTGGGAACTTGAACCGTCCAACGTGGCCTAATTTTATGTCTAACAACCCAAATTCACAGCAGCAACACAATAAATCACCTGGAGAGGAACTTGATAATTTTATGGTTCCTTTCGATAGGCTTCAGCACGCTCCTGTATCCACTTATAACAACTCTGTGTTCCCGAACAATTTAAAACCATTCATAAGTGACTCAAACTCCAAACATGAGCAGACTCTAAATTTCTATTCTGGGAATTATGTGCTGCTACAGTGTGAACTACCAGGCAGGGAGCCCAACAGCTTCGTGGATTCCTCTGAGCTTTACAGAGATCCGACTGTTGATTTAAATTTCATGACCCAAAATCTTGCAAAAAAGCAGAATGGTAAACTTAAGACTCCACTGAATTTTAAGCCCCTGCAGGGAAATGAACAACTCTCCAAGTGGCTTGAGGAAGGTATTCCCACTCCCTCGCCTGGTAATGCTAACCATGGTGATGATTATGATAATGAAAATGAGGATAATGATGACATTAACAATTCCGGTCTGCCATTCCTTTCTCCTACTACGGATGGCCCTCCACTTATATTTCCCCTCTACAAGCCACCTTTAGGTGCAGCACAGTTAAAGCTAAAATTCCACGAATCCTTTAAAGACTTCTCGACTCCTTTAGGCTCCAGCAACAGGTTTCCACCCCATAATGCTCAAAAGATGTTTCAAGGATGGGGCTGAGAAGCTGATCACTAAGCCGGTGGTAGTGTGTAGCTGAGGCAGGTGTTGAACTCCTTACCCTTGTTGTTTGGACTCGTACGAATGTCTCTTGAACTCCTTCAGAAGAAGCATTGAAGTTGGAAGCATGAAAGCAGCAATTTCTAGCAATGTGAATAAATGGTGCAACTACCCAAAACGTGTGCTTTGAACTTTTTTTTTTCTGGAGTGTGTGTTGGGCAGAAGGGCATAGAATTCATATCTGCTGTGACGTAAGTCGTGACGGACGACCTCTGTTTGGCTGCTTTTGCTATCAGTTTACCCAGTGGGGCCATAATATCCGCTTCTTACACTTGGAAGGTACACAGCCTTTTTTGAACCTGTTTGTCCAGCTTGTTTGTGCTTTAGCATGATATGCATTGATCCGTTCTTGTAAATGCAATAAATGGAATTTGCCCATTCATAAACAGTTGCCTGGGGGTGGGTGGATGAGTGCTTGTGTGGTGAACTTGAAAATCAAGTGTTCCACTGCTCTCATTTGTTTTAGCACACAATGTTTGTCAGTAAAATATACTGTGTAATGAAATCTTTAAAAAGCGTGTGTGTGTGTGTGTGTGTGTGTGTGTGTGTGTGTGTGTGTGTGTGTGTGTGTGTGTGTGTGTGTGTGTGTGTGTGTGTGTTCTTCTTCCATGACTGTATGAGAAGTGTCAGCGGGTTCACAGCAGGATTGAATGCACTGTAAACTTCTGCACTTGTTCTGAAAGACTTTGCAAGAATGACTGAATGCATCATGGTACATATAAGTGTGCTCACTAGGCCTGTAAATGTACTGACATAGTCGATTGTTTTGATTTAGAAACACATTTACTGAAGATTTAATGATCAGCATTACATTCAGTTTTACACAGATGATTGTCTGATTTGACAGTTTAAAACCAATTATTCCTACTGCTACTACTGGACATGGCTCACATATCAAAGGTGCTCTGCTACAATTGAAAGCAAGTATAGAGTCTGTGAGACTTGGACACTTAGAAGAATCTGACTCTTCCTGGGCAGACTGGCACGAGCGAAACTGGTCCTGTTTGAACAGCAGGAGCATCAACCATGATGGCAGCAGATACATCTCTCTTCCTGAAGAAAAGAGGAGGCTCCTTACTCGTCAAAGATTCTCCAGCTGAATCATAATCTGCAGCTGGAGCTGGATCTGCAGCTGGAGCAGCAGCAGCAGGGATGACAGGTACAACTTCAGCTGACTCTGCAGATAATAAGAGGCTCTGATGGGGGTTGTGGAGAGCCGTCAGTTTGTGGTGGCTGTGGCCGTGCTTGTGTGACAGGCCGTGTGTGTGCACATGAACCACTGGTGGTAGGACGGGGTCTGCAGCTGCAGTGCTGTTGGCATCTACAATGGGAATCTAAAAAATTGACATCAGTGAGAGAAAAACAGTTCTTAATGTTTTCTGTGTGAACGTTAGATGGTGAATGTTGTTTTGTCTTCATGAATCAGAACATATTAGAAGTCAGATGCAGTATTTTACCAGAGTGGAGAACATCTTGCAGTCCACACTGTGCTGGGCGATTGTACCTTTGGCTGTACAAATCCCACGAGCCTGGAGAGAGAGGCACAGCTCTCAGTTTTGTTCATTTTCAACATCTGGTGACCTGATTGAACATTTCTCCATCTCAGATCAGATCAACAGGCCTGAAAACAAACTGAGTGCTTTTACTACTGTGTACTCACAGCCATGGCATCGTTGAGAGGCACGCAGGGACCCTCGGTGCAGTTTCCCTCAACAACCACATATTCTGTTATGAAGATGGGCCCACCAGACACAACCTGAGAGTATTAAACAGCACTGATGAACTGACAGCTGCAGGTTAAAGCATGCAGCTGTGTTACATCTGGTAAAAAGTATCCTGACTGTCTGACCTGTGATGACAACCTTCCAACCTCGAGAAGAACGTGTGTGGTGTTCACAGTCATGTTGTTGAAGGTTGTCAGAGAGGCATGGACAAAGTCAATCTCTGCATGACTTTACAAAGACTAAGTTATGTTAGGCTCTTATGCTGTGCATGTCAGCTTACATCTTACTCCCATTAAAGGACTCGTGTCCCTCTTTTTTTTATGTCACAACATGTGCAATAAAAGTCTTAAGGCCAGCCTCGGCGGTGTCGCAGGAAGACATCTGCAGGACAGAAGCAAAACCTTCTGTTCATTTTCTGTTACAGGTTTCATGAGGGAAGTTTTTCTCATGATCGGACACGTTTGTTTCAGTTTTGTGTCACTTGTCTGTGTACTCTGTCCCTGTTCATCATTTAAAGCTAATTAATTTACTCGTTTAATTCATGTAGACTTGTACAATGGCCTGAGCCACAATTTGTTACAAACATTTAAATGTTGCAGTGATTAAAATGAGTCCTTCTCTGTTAACAGCAGTGCTCAGTATAAACAATAAAGAAAAGTGAATATATTCAGTCTAACGAGCTGTTATATCATTAGCTGTGGAAATTGAGGAGCAGTGCATGTGTTTTCAGTATGAAAGCTTCCTTTGGCATCTAAATGATTTTTGATTTGGAAAAGGGTGACTCTAAGAATCCAGTAAATTCTATTAAGTGGAAAGTTACTGTTTAATAGGTTGAAGTTTACAGTGAGCGGTAGCTGGGAGCCATGAACTCTGGCCTCAAACAGATGTGCTTTCAGCACAGTCGGACATCCTGAAGGTGTGGTCATCTCTGCTCATTATTCAACCTGTCTATAGGAAACGATACGGTGTGCATATCTGTTTGATTCTCTGCCTTTAAGAGGAAAAAACATGTATATTTCTGTTCAGGATGGGTTGTACACTCTGGAAATAGAGGGCAAACAGTAACACTGAGCAAAAGTGAGTATAAACCCACTATTTCACTTGATCCTCATCAAGCTTCAAACCTTTCAAGGTGGCTGCCCCACAACTTCCAGGTTTTCCATATAAATTAAAGGAAACTAAATGAGGGTCCGGAGGATACTGACCAACATCACAACCTTACTGTTTGGACTCTTGTGAATGCCTCATTACGGGCTCAGTAACCAAAATTGTGCTTTAATTTTTTTTAAGCTGAGAATTTGATGTTTATGGGTTCAAAACAACTGTCTAAAACATCTGGAAAGTGGGTGTTAGAGCAGCTGGGTATAAAAATCATCTTATCTCTTCGTGTGTGGGTAACCAAGGACAACTTTTTCTTTATTTGGCTGCTTCTCTTATCAGTTTAGCCCGTGGGGGCATCATATCGCTTTTTAGACTCAGAGGGTTCACAGCATTTTTGAGGCTGTCTACCTAATTTGTCCTTTACCATGAACCGCAGCTTCCTGAACATTGATCCATTCTTGTAAATTCACTAATAGACTTTGCCCATATTCACCAGCATTGACCTGTATGTTTGTCTGTCTGTAACCTGAGAAACTCAGGTCGATGGGATAAAATATCTTATCAACATTTTCACATTGAAATCTTTAAATAGCCTCTTATGATTATGAAGTGTGAACTCTTTCATACTTGGATGTATGAGTATCCTGGTGTTTTCATTCATTTCTGAAATGTTGAGTTGTGGTGAGCATGGATGTGCAGAGGAAAAGCTGCTGTTGTTCATGGCTGTATCAGAAATGTCAGCCGGTTCACAGGAGGGTCGTTGGCATGAGTCAACACAACAGGCAAACAGCACTGTGGACTTTTGAAATCTTTGCAGAATGACGGCAAGAACTACAGTACAAATGATCAGTGTGTCCTCATTAACCCTGTAAATTCACTTGAGATTTATTCAACATCTTTACAGACAATTTGACAGAGAAGCTTGTCTGATTTGACAGTTTAAAACAATGAATTGTTTCTCATTGGTTGGTGTTTTGTTACATCTACTGGAAATGGCTAATGTATCAAAGGTGCTCTGCTACAAATGAAAGCAAGTATAGAGTCTGTGAGACTTGGACACTTAGAAGAATCTGACTCTTCCTGGGCAGACTGGCACGAGAGTAACTGGTCCTGTTTGAACAGCAGGAGCATCAACCACAGCAGCAGCAGATACATCTCTCTTCTTCAAGTTAGGTGATCTTTCCTTACTCGATAAGGATTCTCCAGCTGAGTCAGAATCTGCAGCGAGAGCAGGGTCTGCAGCTGGAGCTGGATCTGCAGCAAGGGCAGGATCTGCAGCGAGAGCAGGGTCCGCAGCTGGAGCTGGATCTGCAGCTGGAGCAGCAGCAGCAGGGACGACAGGTACAACTTCATCTGATTCAGCTGACTCTGCAGATAACAGGACGTTTTGATGGGGGTTGTGGAGAGCCGTCAGTTTGTGGTGGCTGTGGCCGTGCTTGTGTGACAGGCCGTGTGTGTGCACATGAACCACTGGTGGTAGGACGGGGTCTGCAGCTGCAGTGCTGTTGGCATCTACAATGGGAATCTAAAAAAATGACATCAGTGAGAGAAAAAACAGTTCTTAATGTTTTCTGTGTGAACGTTAGATGGTGAATGTTGTTTTGTCTTCATGAATCAGAACATATTAGAAGTCAGATGCAGTATTTTACCAGAGTGGAGAACATCTTGCAGTCCACACTGTGCTGGGCGATTGTACCTTTGGCTGTACAAATCCCACGAGCCTGGAGAGAGAGGCACAGCTCTCAGTTTTGTTCATTTTCAACATCTGGTGACCTGATTGAACATTTCTCCATCTCAGATCAGATCAACAGGCCTGAAAACAAACTGAGTGCTTTTACTACTGTGTACTCACAGCCATGGCATCGTTGAGAGGCACGCAGGGATCCTCGGTGCAGTTTCCCTCAACAACCACATATTCTGTTATGAAGATGGGCCCACCAGACACAACCTGAGAGTATTAAACAGCACTGATGAACTGACAGCTGCAGGTTAAAGCATGCAGCTGTGTTACATCTGGTAAAAAGTATCCTGACTGTCTGACCTGTGATGACAACCTTCCAACCTCGAGAAGAACGTGTGTGGTGTTCACAGTCATGTTGTTGAAGGTTGTCAGAGAGGCATGGACAAAGTCCAGCGCATCGGTGTTATTGAGGGGAAGGAGGCTGGGGCAGCCCAAACACAAATCCTCTGTGGATACTACAAGTCGAGCAGGAAAGTCACATACAGGTTATTGACACATGCAGTATGTATGGACACTGCTGTGGTTTGTTCTTTGTAATCAGTTGGATGAGAGCAGCATCTGTGATCTTTACCCTCTGATTTGCACTTGAATGCAATGACCTTCAGAACACCGCCAACCTTCTTCAGCACCACATCACAGTCTCCTTCTACCGCCTGGAAGAGAACGAAGAATCAAAGTAGGTTGATCAGAACTAATATCGACTGAATTACAGGAGTCGAAGCCTGAGAGCTTCTGCGTCTCACCGTCTGTACTTTGGGCCTGACTGTGCAGTTGGCAAGAGGCAGCGGGTCCAACACGTGACAGTCTGTCTCCAGCAGGTCAACTTCCATGTCGTATTCATCTCCGTCTGGCTGAATAAGCAAAAATATATACAAATCACTGCACAATTGTTACATTTCTTTTTTTAAAATGAGATGGTTATTGACTAAATTCTGCTGTATATATTATTCCAGATGCAGGTGAACATATAAGAGCTCCTATTGGCAAAAATAGAGCACATAGCTGCTTTTGATTTAGTCTGAAAATATCCTAAAAAGTTAGAAAGAGAGGGGCACCATAAACAAAACTGTCTATAACATGATGCAGAATGGACTGCTACACTTAGTGTTTATCCTTCTTCTCTGCCCAGTGAACTTTATTCTTTTCTACTGTGTTCACACATTTCTGTATGTAACTAAACAGCACCTCCACCTGCTGACTTACCTTCGCGTAGACCTTGATGTCGTCGATCTGGTTCAGTACATACTTGTAGCCATGATGGTGCTGGGCGTTGAGGTAATCCTGCGCCACCAGAGCAGCCTCCTCCGCCTCGGGGGAGTCGCACAGAGGCCTTCGCACGATGGGTTGAGCCCATGTCCCCACCAACAGTCCCAGCACCACAGTGAAGCTCAGGAGATTCATTTCTGTGTGAAATGCAACAAAAATAAGGTATCACAGACGAGCAGACGCTGGTAAAGATGAGAGGCAGAGCTGGTGCAGGTCGCTGCTTATATATCCTGTACTTTAAACATGAAAACAGAGCCAAGTTAAACACCATGTTCATCCCTCCTGACTCTTGCGTCACATGGTGCTGCTCTTTTTTTTTTTTTTTTGAAGGATAACTGCCAAAGCAAATGGAAACTCACAAAGTCTAGCGTGGGACGAGCAGCCTTTAGTTCAAATCAGTTTTAGTGTCACACTCCTGCAACATATACTGACACCTGTCTCTATGTCTTCCGTGAATATATATCAAATATTATATGTGAGAAGATCTTTGGGTTCACTCGTATTGTGTAACCAGCTGTCTCCCTCAACAGAGGTCACGCTGGTCATCTACAGAGCTGGGCCCCACTGTCAGCAGGGATCTGCGGACTTGCTCAATGATACTAAAAAAAAGAAAAAAACAGGATGTTTGCCAGGTTTTGGGGGGACAGCGACCATCTGCTTGTTACACCAGTGTCACTCAAGGTCAGCAGCAGGCCGCAAACAGAGACACTGACAAGAAGATTTCAAATGTTTTCTCAAATGAGCAATAAAGTGCAGACTGAGGACCGCCGCAGAGTTTTTCCATTCCCTCTAGAATACTTCACAAAGCTTTGAGGTTTAATAACTTTAGTAAAAACACACGGTCACTTCCATTCGGCATTAAATCACAGATATGTCACAGTACCATGCAAACGTCTCGAGCCACGGCCATTTCTTTAGATTTAGCTTTGAATGAGCCCTTTAAACTGTATCTTTAGGCTACATTGTTAGTAGCAGCCTGCCACAAGAACAACCTCCCAAGTTTGCTTGGCTTCTCCTGAAAATAGTTTAGATTTTTCCCAACTGCTTTTAAAATTGAAATCTTGTGGCAGAGACTTCATTTTTAAAAGACTTCCTGCAGCCTCTGCTACGTGCAGAGACTGCAGGGAAGTCCATAATGTTTTTGTTTGGCTTATCATTTTCATGTTTAGTTTTGTGGATTCTGGAATTGTTTAATAGTCAATGACTGCAGAAGGTTGGAAGGCAAACAAGACACTTTTTATTCTGATGTTTCTGTAGCTTTGTATTTATTAATGAGACATGATTTCTTTGACTGGTGTTTTAATGATATTGCAAGATCAACTTTAAAGACAAAACAGAAATGGATGATGGATAAAAAAGCATAAGAGGTAAGAGTGTTGAGAGTAATGGAAACTAGAAAGAAGAACTTATTGTGGTCTTATTTTGCAAAGTAAAGGGATGTATTAGTTGAAGTTGAAGATAAGATACAGAAAGGGCCTGCAGGGGGCAGTGACACGCTTTAATGTAACTAAACGGACGTCTAAAGAAGAAGATCGTGTTTTGATTGGTCAGGATGAGAGGGGCACGTGACTACATGTGACTGTTAACGGTCAACGGATTGGATGAAGCCGAAGTCTAACAACCAATCACAGCAAGACGTCGCTCACGTTGCGTCCGTCTGCGTGATCCAATCTTGCATCGGCTAACCTGAATGCTAAGTAAGCTAAAGAGTTTTAGCTCCAAGCGCCGTGTTCTGAATAAAAAACGCTCCGATTTATGTGAACGCACACACAGACAGGACGTGTCCGCGGAGAGCTTTCTCCGCTTCGAGGTTTCATTGAGCCAAACGAGGGGGAAACCGCGAGGCTACGTGAGTGTGTGGCTAGCTCCTCGTTTGTTGCAGCCAATTGTTGGGTGTCTTTAAACATCACCGGCTTTTTTTTTTTTTAGCAAGGGTCTGTGATTGGAAACACGTGTCTGGAAGAAAGCAATTCAAGGCGGGCAAAACAGCGACCTGTACCCGCTCCGACAGCCTGGAGGTAACAAAATAATATTGCTTGTAAAAATAAAAATGTGTGTCTTTCTATGTGGGGACATGTGCTGCACACGCACACCTGCAGGCAGGTCTGTAACTCTCAGACCTCTGACAACTTCTGAAAAAGGCCTCCTTCTCAGTATAAAGAGCTGATGCAAGTGCAAAAGCAACAACTGTGATGGAAGACCTGTTCAGATCATTTGCCTTGGTAAAAGAAGCAGTAAGTAATTAGTCCATATGCACGATTATACCTGAGAAGAATTTACCAGCGTTCAGCCACTGATCGGTTCACCGTAGGATCAGATCTATTTATGAAATCCTTTTTCATCAAAGTGAGGCTCATGTGTAATCAAACTTTTGTTCTGTGTCGCAGCAGATGGTCAGACTGTGAAACCAAAGCCAGGACAGGGACCCCTAAGTAAGCTGTGAGGATCGTGTCAAATTGTGAATTCTTCAGACCTCATGTTATTTCACCTTTCCACTTCAAGGTGAAATTGTCTCAGCTAACAGCGGCTGGATCATGGCCCGGAAACCATGTAGCTCCGTGTGTCGGTTTGTTGCTAAATGCTGCTACATTTGAGCCGTCTCGCTCACACTTGGCTCTCCGGAAAGCGTTCTTCACTCTCTGCCAAATGCACCGAGCACAGAGCCAGCGGAGCAAAGCGAAATACTTGAAGAGGAGGAAGGGATCCATTTCTTTAATCAATGGGGTCTCTCACATGTCCAGGCGAGCCAAGAGGCGCTTGTACTGTAAACTACAGCTTTGGATGTGGAGGAAGTGGAGAGAGAAGTGCCACTTTGGGATATTTAGAGCTAAAAAACGCTTTGGCTCGAGCCCCGGCCTCAGTTTAAAGACACAAAAAAATAAAAGGAAAGCGTACCAAGCGCTGAATGCAGCAAAAACATCAGTCCTTGTGTCAGCTCTTGGATGTGATACTGGAGGTTCAGAGGCTCCCCGTAAAAGACAGAACCAGGATGTGAACACAGATGCTGCTGCAGGTACTGATGGTGAAACCATTACAGGAGAAACTTTGGTACACATTAGTGAAATTAGAGAGCCTTTAAGACACTGTCATAGTATCCAATCTTCATTAAATGCAGACAGTTACACATGTGAAGACGTCACACAGAGCAGGGTACCAGGAACAACTCCTGCACAAAGACTCGAGGTTGGCAGCCCATCAGCACAGACTGCTGGTACTCCAGGTCAGGACCAGAGTACAGTCACAGATACTGATGAGACCATCAGTAGTAAAAAAACAGTATCCCCTCACACTGATGTCAGCCTGAACGCACTGACGAAGGACATCCACGGTATGTGCATCGTTAACATTTGGTGCAACTTTCTTCTCTGGGCCGTTTGTTAAGAGTTTCTGTGTTTCTCCAGAGTTTCTTGATGACTTCTACATGAAATATGGAAGCTTAATCCCATTACGTAAGAACGACGTCTTGAGGCATCTCAAGGGGAAGTTTTACACTGGTTTAAGTGACAGGTAAATCAGAATTCTGTTGTTGTGGTAAAGAGTAAGTGGGAGCTTTCTGAGCGTTGCCTGTTTGTGTCTGTTCAGGAAAAACACAGTCCTCTCTGAGGTTACCAGATACCGAGCTGCGATCCTCCAGAAGCCCGTCCCGTCTTTTCAGGTGGTCTACAAGAAACACACGTTGACTCTGGACGATTTGTTGACGCTGGCAGATCAGAACTGGCTCAACGACCAGGTTAGCATCATCTATAACACCAAACACGCCATGCTTTACTGGATTCACTGGAGTGTGAATGTTTAAGATCAATGTAACGGGTGTGTGTACGCATTTGTTGTTTCTGTTGAAGGTTATGAACATGTACGGGGAACTGATCATGGATTCTTCCCAGCAGAAGGTAATAAACAAAGCTCTAAATGAAGATCTAAAAATGCTGGAATTTTTCTTGCATCGGAACGCTAAGCGAGGAAAGATTTCACCTACCTGAGTTTTTCAATAAAGGGACTATAAGGCTGTATGTATTTCTATATTATTTAACGAGGTCAGTTTATTTACTCCAGACTGTTTAAAATGCTTCTTACCCCTCCGCTGTAAAAGGCTGACAGAGTATTGCTGTCACCCTGCCGGGCAGGCAGGCATGGAGGAGGAGGAGGAGAGCTGGAGAGGGCATCAAGCCAGTTTCAGGAACAGTTTCTGCTCCTCTGTACAAGGAGGAGCAGGAGCCCCACAAAATGACTTCCAGCTGCTCTCTATGAGGGTGGCATGAGAACCTAATGTCCTTTAGTTGGAGCTCACAGATGATCTTTGTGCAGCTCGACTGGCTTTCGGTGCCACAGATCACCAGAACGGGCAAGTCGACCACTGGCACCCGTCGCTTTTCACACATGAGAGCAGATTCACTGAACTTGTGTAGCAGACCTGAGTCTGAAGATATCATCCAAACGTGATACTCTCTGCAGCATCAGCCAGGATGATTGGTTAGGCAGTCGGTCAGTGATGCTCTGGTGACGAATAGCCTCTGAGCGTCAAACATGGCTCAGCTTGTTAGCCAGTGCTGCGTTGAGTGCTGTTAGATATGGAGATGAAATCCACAGACCTACAGTTAGACCTTATGCTGGTGCAGTAGGCCCCAGGTTCCTTGCTAGTAGCCCATGTAGTGCTGTGGACTACCCCTAGGAGTACTGGTACCCCAATATGAGACAATACTGTAGATATCGTTCCAATATTTATCCTATTAATTGAAAGCGCTGTTTGATCCTAGAACTTTTAAATCTACGTATTTTTAATTGTTATAAACTGATGATTTCTGTTTGTCTTCGCTTTTAGGTCCATTTTCTCAACAGTTTCTTCCACCGGCAGCTGATGACCAAAGGATACGATGGTGTTAAGCGATGGACGAAGCAGGTGAGCTCTTAGATGGAAATGATGTGTTTCCCTTGTTAGTCATGCAGCTTTCTATTGCCATGTTTCTCCCAGAAGCAAAAAGAACTAACATAACTTTTATTTCTATGCAATGAAAAGTATGAAAAAAGTCTCTAAAGAACTAAAGAGTGGGTGGGATGGGTGGCTGTGATCTCGTGTGTCTCGTCCAGGTGGATTTGTTTTCTAAGAGACTTCTTTTGGTGCCTATCCATCTGGAGGTTCACTGGTGTTTGGTGACTGCCGACATCGTCCAAAAGAAAATCTGCCTTTATGACTCTCAAGGGAACGGGCTCCAGAAAGTTGGAAGGGTAATTACACACTTCACGTACACGCAGTTACTTTGACAAAATACTTTTTCTTTCTAAACGTTTCCCTCTCAACAGAACATCCTGAAATACTTGATGACCGAAGCAAAAGAAAAGAAGCAAACTGCTTTTGAAAGCGGTTGGACGGTGGCGTTCGATGAGGTACGTCGTCCTGGTTTAAACTGTTACCTGTTTGAACGCTCGCTCTCACTGACACGATGTGCTGTCTCCCCCTGCTGCTCCTCGCAGAAAGTCCCGCAGCAGACCAACGAGAACGACTGCGGAGTTTTTGTTCTGGAGGTATGTGCGACTTTGTTCGCGTGCATGATCGTTTCAGATTTGTTTCTGTTGCTTGCTCACTACATGATATTGCTCTTTTACAGTATTCTAGATGCCTTGCTCTGACAAGACCCCTCCACTTCTCACAAAAAGACATACCAAAGATACGAAAGAGGATCTACAAAGAGCTCTGCGACTGTAAGCTCCATGAACAGGACTGATGAGTCATTAACTTGTTGGATGGATGTGTTTTGGTATAAAAATAACATAATAAGCAACTTAAAGAAGTCCAGATGCTTTTCTTTCCAAGCTCCTTGGACTACAATGACCTGGTCCAAGGATGACTGAGAACCTTCACAGACAACATCGTGTAGGGTGTGATTGTGGTAGCAGCTCCACAGCGGCCTTACATTATGTATATAATGTGAAAATACGATCCCTGCTGCGAAATATAATTCACTCGTCAGGTCACATTTTCATCCATTTTGGTAACTACTGCATATGATCAGTATTTAATCAAGCATGTCTTTGAGAGGAGAAGACGAGTGGACTTACCTGGAGCCATACGGAGTCTGTCCTGTCCTGTGTCCGTTTGGCAGCTACTATGTTTCTGTGAATCTTATTGGCACCATTGTTAGCATCAGATTTGACCTGTTATCACCAGATGAGTGAATTGAAGTAGTGTTTTCTTGAATGTGCCTGTTTCAGATGAGCAATATGTATACAAAGGATTTAAATAAAAACTGTCATTTTCCAAACATTTCACATTTATTTATATTTGTTTCTCCTAAAAGAGACCTTTAATGCTCATTTCCATCTACATGTTTTTTTTTCCTGTGACTCAGAGTAGGTTTGCATGATTCATATTTCAGTATGATCCTTTTTTTAAAATCACATATTGGACCTTTTGCAGCCCGTCAGGTGTGCCTGATGGCCATATTAGGCATATCACATCACACAGTGCCAAAAGTAGAAAATAAATGCTTAAAAGTGAGTGTTTAACTCACATGTTTGCATTTGCTGACCTCACCAGTTCAGTCTCTATCCGTGTTTAACATGAGCATCTACAATTGTAGATGCTATGTTTGAGAAATGAAGGAAAAGCATAATGGGTTCCCTTTCAAGATCAGATACTGTATGCGGGACAACTTATTTTATATTACGTTACATAAATATTTGTAAATACGTCTTAGATACATATATTGTAATTTCAGTTTCATCCACTTGATTATAACTATGCGAGGAACAGTTACAAAACCCCAGTGAGAGAAAAGCTGTCGCACAGATCAGAAAGTGGATATTTAAGGCACACAGAGCTCTCTAAAGTGTAGTTTTCAGTATTAGAACCAGATTCACACACTGTCAAAAACACGATGGAGTATGTATTGTTCAACATAACCAAATAAACCTGTTCACAACAGACACATCTCTATTGCTGACCCTGTCAGTACATTACACGAATACATAACGTATATCAACAGCCACTGTTCCTCGTTAGCAGCTCGTTGTAAAGCTGAGATTTAAAAAAAAATTGTCTTCATAAAAAATTCAAACATTCATAAAAGTCTCATGTTTATGAGTGCACACTGAAACCAAGAGCTGTGTATCTGCAACACGGACCACTTAAATACTGCAGGTATTGTGTAGATTAATGCAGATACACCTGGTTTATCAACCTAAATCACAAGAGGCCACAAAGGAGAACAGTTTCCCCTTTCCACGGAGACTATGTAGGTAGATATATTTGCTCGCAATGTCTGTGGACGTGTATGTTCCCACAGGAAGAGATAAAACTGATTCATACAGCCCAAAGATGTTGCAGATCTCCTCCAGTAGATGTGCTGTTGTGACTGATTAACCCTTCACATCGAGCTAGGTCTGATTTTATTCATCATAAAGAGGGTCTAATCGTTGATCTGGAACCCCCACTCAATTTCTGGCTCGTCGTCGAGACGAATCACGAGGTAGGACACGAGCTGGAAGAGGTTCTGCCACAGGCCCAGGAAGAGGTACAAGTAGAAGTCGCTGACGTCTATTTGGCAGTGAATCCCCGAGTAATTCATGTCGCACACGCACTCAAAACTGTTCACGTAGTTGACACAGAAACCTCCGTTCATACAGGGGTCAGAGGCACATTCATCCACGTCCTTCTCACACCTGAAAGGAAAATTTAAAAAAGTTCTGTTTTTGGCCACTTGGGGGCAGTAGCTGCACTGACATGGACTTTTAAAATCACAAGTTGCGTGCAAATTAACTATCATTATGCATGTCATACCATTGTCCCGCGAAGCCAGGCAGGCAGTAACAAGCATCATCAGGCTCGGAGCAGCGTCCTCCATTAAAGCAGCTGTAGTTCCACCGTGTACCCGTGCATGTAGACACAGGCAACTGAGGAAGTCTGGGCAAACATCAGAAGAGAGAAAGTCAACACTGTTGAATTCAAAAATGGTTGATTTGTTGTTTACTTGGTTAAGTGAAGTGTGTTGAATTTGATGTAAAAGCACTTACGGATTGGTCTCGATGTACCATGGGATTTCAGGGAGTTTCTCGCTGTAATAGAGAAGTTTGCAAATCAGCACAACTGGTGACATTGCTATCTCTGATGACATTGAAATCAACTCTTGAGGAACTCACTCGCAGTACTGGCCGGTCATATTTTGAGGGCATAGACAGGAGTACGTCTGGAAGCCTTTGAGGCACGTGGCGCCGTGGCTGCAATTGCTTTTTTCACACATATCAACTTCTACCTCACATTGCTCGCCGCTGTACCCCTGCTCACACACACACTTATACCCTCCAGCTAGGCTGACACAGTTGCCGTAGAGACAGGGCCCGGAGATGCAGGGGTCTGTCGAGTCTTGACACAGGTAGCCCGTCCACTCGGAGGAACACGTGCACTGATGCAGGTCAAACAGGTCCTCGCAGACACCCTCGTTCCTGCAAGGGTTAGGTGTGCAAACACTGGCTCCCCAGCAGCCGTACAGCAGAGGAGCATTGCTGTTTATCCTCAAAAACTGCTCCTCCTGAGGTCTGGGCAGGTTCAGCTCTGTATCAGGGTGGAAAGGGAGAAGAAGCCCCCCAATCTCGACAGGACCCAGACAGCCAGACAGATCCACTCCAGCATTCAGGCTTAGACCACCCAGGAAGATGTCCGCTTCCTTGCTGAGAAACTCCAGGTCACCCACAGCTGTTTTGGGCATGCTAATGGCCTCCTTTCCTCCATCCACGACTATGATCCAACTGGAGGTCGATGCCTCGGTTTCCAAGCTGAGCTTCACAGTGTGCCACTTTCCATCACTGAACTGAGTCTGGCTTTGAATAGACACGTTGTCCTTGTCACCCCCAACCTGGAGATCCATGACCACATGAGAGTTCAGGAGAGAGACCGTCAGGTAGTTTGAGTCCTTGTGTGCATGCAGTAATGTGGCAGCAAGCCGTCTTGAGCGGAAGCTGAGGGAGACACTGGTCAGGCTGCGCTTAATCTTTCCATTGCTCCGGTACTGTGGAATGCTGCTTCCAAGCCGAAATGTCACATTAGACAAGCCTGTAGCAGAGACAGGGAGGAGCAGCTTACTTGTTGCAGTCTCAAAGCATCACACCCATACAGACTACAGTCCCCCCTGAACATTAAAGACTCGTGTTTTCAGGTCTTGAAGAGTAACCTAACACCACATTGCTCTTTGTCTTCCCTGTGGCTGAAAGTTTGACACAACCCATTGTAAATATGCTCTACATTTTGGGGCGTGGGCCATATTATAGAGCAAATGAATCTTTTCCCAATTTCCTTTATTTTTAACACATGTACACAGTAGATTTTGTATTACTCGATTGTCCTTTTTCCTTTTCAGTTATCCAACATTGATGTGAGAAGAACTTTTCTCCCTTACAAATGCTAAAACAAAAAATAAATGCCATCTAAATTTGCAGGCCTATGTGAATTTAATTTTCTTTCTTTCAAAATCACTGTTCACATCTCTCAAAAGGAGTGTCTCAAACCCCGTAAAGTACCTTGAGGTTAGTCAAGGCTAATCCACTCCATAAAATACCCTTAAAACTACAGTCTACTTACAATGTAAGATTGGGACATGTTATTGGTTTTACTGTCAAATTACCAAGAAATTATGCTGCACTTAGAGCAGCAATTACTTAGAGTATGACTTATCCCCTTTCCTGTAAAATACCCAGAATTGTGGCACTATGTAAAGTTACTTACTAATTACTAAAAATTACTTACAGACTTATTCAATTTATTTACAACAATTATTTCTTTGCGTCCTCTAAAAGCATTATTCTAGTATTCCTACCTTTATGAATGTGTAGGTTATTATAATTACATTGTAATATCAAATAAAAAAACCCACTGACATTCCATTAAATTACAGGGGAATTACATGCTGAGTTGCACGCTGTATTATAAAGCATTAAACCAGTTTCTTTAAGAACTGCATACTGCTCATGTTTAATTAAAAAACATTCTGGTCTGCTTTTACAAAGTGCACCCTGTGAGCGGGAAGTTCCTAGTGTAGTCACAAGGTTAGAGTTTAATTAAGCTAATGTCTTTTTTCAGGACTCTGTAAGTTCAACCACACTTGACAGTAGCCTGGCAGCATAGCAAATACAAACATACCAACTCTGCCTCAGCGGAAACTGATTTGTACTGGCGTACAGAAGGAGATGATTCCACTTTATTCTGACTGAGCCTTAATAACTTCAACGAAAACATAATTCCAAAAACATCCAGTGTGAAATAACCCCACTGTCCTTACCGTTTGTTTTTTTTTAAAAAGCAAATTAGCTCAAAAACTGTTTAAAAAGCTGTTTTTCCCCTCCCCTCTGTGAACATGTGACTGCTCCAGGAAGACATGTCATCATAAACTACCACAGCCATGTGGCAGCAGAGTTAATCTGACCAGGGATTACCACGCCTTAGAGGAATCCCATGCAGGATCCCTGCCTCTACTGTGTTCCCTGCTGTAATCAACAGTGCTGTAATTAAAACTGTGTGTGCACCATTGAGTCCCCTAAAGGGACGTGCAGTGCTGATGATGTCTTCAGCGGATGTCAGTTATATGCTATATGAGGGGCTTGCACATTACTTGTAAATTCTTCCAAATGCTTGCATGTGGCATGAATGGGAAATGAATTCTTAAAGAGTCTTTATTCCTCCCTGATGATGTACTTTCAGGACATGCATTATGCATGACTGGAACCTGTTATCAGGTTACTTACATTCAAAACCCTGAGAGAGGGGCTGACACATTGCAGCAGCTGGGCAGGGAGACAGCTCGCACCATTTCACCTCCTCACA